CTGGTGCCTTAGCTTGTGGCTTTACCCTCTGTGCCAAAGTTCCAGCTCTAGTCAGGATAATCTGTCCCAGAATGCCCACTTTGGTGATGGGCTTATGGGAACATTCCTCCCCCATGGCCCATTTCTTCACTATTTCCTTCTAGTGATATGGGTGCCTGCTTCCTGGAGGCCCGGTCTCTCCAGGCCTCGTGCTGACCCTGTGGGGCAGTCCTTGTTGCTCTTGGGTGACTCTTGCATTACTGCCCAGGGCTGAGGTCCTGTCTGCTGCACAGCAGCCAGTAACTTCCACTTGCAAGCTACGTGGGCACGTCTGCCTATCCATGATGGGTGAAGAGGCATGTTGATGTGTGGGTGTGCCAGGTTCATGAGTCAGTGTGTCTCATTTTGCTGTTTAAAAAAAATTCCCTCATGGGCTGGTGTTGTGGTATAATAGCATCCATATGCCTGCTGGTTTGTGCGTGGCTGCTCCCTGCTACTGACCAAAGGCTGAAGTACTTGGGCTGCTGCCACCCACGGTGGCAGACCTGGATTGGCTCCTGGCTTTGGCCTGGCCCATCCCTGGTAGTGGCAGCCATTTGGGGAGTGATTCAGTGGGTAGAATATCTATCCCTCCCTCCCACCCTTTCTGTAGCTCTTTGAAATAAAAAAATTATTTTTAAATGTTTGAGATTTTACTCCATACATGACTTGTCAGTGTTTAAGTGGAAGCAGCACATCCCCTTGACTCTTAAAGCAGAATGAGCCCTGCCCCTGCCTGGGTGCTGCTGCGCTGTGGCTGGACTTCTCCCTGCGTGGCTCCTGACCCTTGCCTAGCAGGAAGCAGGGCTCACAGGGCGTCTCAGAGAGCCAGGAGACAGGACCACGTTGATGTTTCTTAGACATTTCGTGGAGCAACTATGGCGGGAGTGTGCTCGGCACAGGTGTGGCCCAGGCAGCGTGCAGCCCTGCTGTGTCACTTGCTCTGTGGAAGTGCTGGCTCCTCTCCTGTCCCTGACTGTCCTTGCAGGCAGCACACTGCTACTCCTGCAGTCATGGCCTGAGGTCTGCACAGCCGCAGAGGCCCCGTGCAAGCCGTTCCCTGCACACTGACCGTCCTGGGAGGACTCTGCAGGCTGCTTACAGTTCTTGTGGTGTCACCATGGCCCCTGAAGACAGGAAATTATTGATTTATTTGGTTCTTTTTAAATGTATTTGTTTTTACTTGAAAGGGAAATTAACAGAGAGAAAGATCTTCCATCTGCTGATTCACTCCCCAGTGGCTGCAGTGGCTGGAGCTGCATCTATCCGAAGCCAGGATCCAGGAACTTCTTCTGGGTCTCCCACGTGGGTGCAGGGTCCCAAGGCTTTGGGCCGTCCTCTCCTGCTTTCCCAGGCCACAAGCAGGGAGCTGGATGGGAAGTGGAGCATCTGGGTCATGTACCAGTGCCCACATGGGATCTTGGTGTTTGCAGGTGCAGGATTAGCCACCTGAGCCGTTGTATTGTTGTTGCTAATCTCCAAGGGGAGAGTGATGTGCTGTGTTCTAGGCTTTGATTAGAGGGACACCTCATTAGGGTCATGATTGGACTCCTGGTTCCTCTTGTGTAAGGCCCATTGACTTGGCACCGGACTTTAGGAACTGTGATCCACATGGTGGCGTGCCTGATGAGTGGTGCTTTGGTGCTTGGCTGAGCTGCTTGTTCTCTGCTGCTGCTCATGTTTGCCCCTGGGAGCCTGCGGCTGCATACTTGGTGAGTTCTCAGCCTCGAGTGTTTGAGTCTGTGATGGGAGTTCATGGCCTTCCCCTGTACCTGTGGGGCTGCAGCCACTGCTGCTTGCCTGCCTGCCAGGCCACCTTCATGCCAGCATGGACGTTGGGGCCTTTGGTTCTGTTTTTGGGGGATAGGATGTTGGTGCAGAGTACTGAGAGTCTAGTCAGTTCGTGGCAGGAAGACCCTAAGTCCCCTCTAACACTCAACTTCCATCGTGTCTCTCCTTATCATTCTTTCTATAGGTACAGTGTCTGTACTTCCTGCACTGTTGGTTTTATTTAATCTTGCATGTATTTCTTTATTTTTATTATTATTTGAAAGGTGGAGAGTGTAAGACGGGAGGTGGGGGAATTGATTAATTGCTTGATTTGCCATCCATTGATTCACTCCCTTAATGGCTACGGTGGCAGGGCTGGGGCAGGCTGAAGCTAGGAGCCTGGAACTCCATTGGGGTTTCCTCCATGGGTAGCAGGCATGCAAACACTTGGGCCGTTCACATTAACAGGGAACTGGAATGGCAGCTAAGAAACCAGGGCTCTGACTGGTGTCCATTGGAGATGCAGCGTCGCAGGGGCTTAACACACTGCACCCCGACACCAGCACCGTATCTCACCTTACAGTTAAGTGAGTTCACATTTTGGAAGTGACCAGAAAAGAATGTAAAATTTCAGTGTACCTCAGTCCTGATTCACCAGGTGCCTTGATTTCTTTTCCTTTCTTTTCTTTTTTTTTTTTTTTAAGATTTATTTATTTTTATTGCAAAGTCAGATATATACAGAGAGGAGGAGAGACAGAGAGGATCTTCTGTCCACTGATCATTCCCCAAGTGACTGCAACAGCCGGGGCTGAGGCAGTCTGAAGCCAGGAGTCAGGAGCCTCTTCCAGGTCTCCCCTGTGGGTACAAGATCCCAAGGCTTTGGGCCGTCCTCAACTGCTTTCCCAGACCACAGGCAGTGAGCTGGATGGGGATTGGAGCTGCTGTGATTAGAACCGGTGCCCATATGGAATCCTGGTGCATTCAAGGCGAGGACTTTAGCCGCTAGGTCACAGTGCTGGGCCCGTGGCATATATTTTATTGAGCATTTAAATACCCATTAGCACCCTAGAAAATGAACACTTGCACACTTTATTTATCTGCTGTCTGAGGTTTTTATTAGTCAGTTATATTTCATTGACACTGTATATTTGGTTGTCTCATTTTTATACTTTTTATAGAAGGCTTATTTATTTATTTATTCATTTGAAGCAGCAAGAAGGAGAAACAGAGCAAAATATATTTTATATACTTTGTTCACTTCCCAAGTAGTTAGGGCTGGCCGAGGCTGAAACCAGGAACCAGGAGCTGCATCCTGACCTGCCATGGCCCTTGCACTTGGCCTTCACAACCACAGCGTCGTGTTGCAGCACAGTGACGCAGTGTCTGACATGCACAGTGACGCAGTGTCCGACACGCACAGTGACGCAGTGCTTGTTCCGACACGCACAGTGACGCAGTGCTTGTTCCGGCACGCACAGTGACGCAGTGTCCGACACGCACAGTGATGCAGTGCTTGTTCCGGCACGCACAGTGACGCAGTGTCCGACACGCACAGTGACGCAGTGCTTGTTCCGGCACGCACAGTGACGCAGTGCTTGTTCCGGCACGCACAGTGACGCAGCGTCCGACACGCACAGTGACGCAGTGCTTGTTCTTACGTGCCTTTTCATCTGCTTGAAGGCCAGAGTAATACAGAGAGATCTTCCACCCACACTTCATTCCCCAAATGCCAACCTCAGCCAGGCCTGCGCCAGGTTGGGCTGGTGGCCTGTGCCTCCATCTGGCTCTGCAACGTGGGAGGCGGGGGAAGGGGTCCTGAGTGCTTGCCTTTGGTCGGCCTCCCAGGAGCCATCAGCTGCAGTTCAACAGGAAGCCGGTGGCCAGGACTGCCAGCACTCTGTTCACGGAAGTCGACACTGCAAGTGTTTGTTTAGTTTACTCAGCTACAACACCTGTCCCTGCAGAATGGGTGTGCTTTGTGTGGAGTTGGGATAACCTCAACAGCTATGGCCCAGGTACAGTTCCTAGTGCTACTTCCCTTTTGGGAAGTGGAGATGGGCTGTGTCTGTTGGGGTGTCAATGCCTGAGCTGACCTGTGCACAGCCAAGGCTCACTCCATGCTGTGGGCTGTGCGGCCACCTGCTGGTTCTTGCTGTCTGCTCCCTGTCTTCCGTTGCTTGTGTGTCTTGTCTTGTCAGAGGATGTGCTGTATAGCTTGCCTTCTGTCTTGGAACCCACTTTGCTGTGTCTCGGCCTGGCTCGGCCGCTGAGCGTCTTGGCAGCACACTGTGCTGACTCTGTGTGCCCCACTTGTTCTCGGGGGTTTCTTCCTTTCCAAAGCCCCGATTTCTCATGCTGATTAACAAGCACAGGTACAACAGTTAAGGTCCACACTTAATTGTGTTTTATTTTTTATTTATTTTTTTTTTAAAGATTTATTTTTATTATTTTTTTCATTGGAAAGGCAGATGTACAGAGAGGAGATACAGAGAGGAAGATCTTCCGTCCGATGATTCACTCCCCAAGTGAGCGCAACGGGCCGATACTATGCCAAGCCGAAGCCAGGAGCCTCTTCCGGGTCTCCCACGCGGGTGCAGGGTCCCAAAGCTTTGGGCCGTCCTCGACTGCCTTCCCGGGCCACAGGCAGGGAGCTGGAAGGGAAGCGGGGCTGCCGGGATTAGAACCGGCGCCCATATGGGATCCCGGGCATGCAAGGCGAGGACCTTTAACCACTTGCACCACCGCGCCGGGCCCTGTTTTATTTTTTTAAAGGTCATTTATTTTTAGGCAGTTACAGAGAAAGAGAGGGAGAGCGGAAGGAGGGAATCTTCCTTTCCCGCTTCTCTCCCCAGATGGCCACTCTGACCACAGTTGGACCAGGTTGCTGCATTGTGTGTGTGCTTGCTCTGGCCAGCCTTGCCAGCACTGGTTGTCTGTACCTAACCCTAACCGTGTTCATCCGCAAAAATAAACATACACACTCTGTCTGGTTGCTTCAGTCTGGCAGCAGGAAGATGGCCAGGGGCGCTGTGTGCGGTGCTGAGGAGCTGAGGACGGGGCCTGAGGAGTGAGGGTGGGGTGGGGTTGGGGTGGCACAGCAGAAGGCTGCACAGGAGCAACTTGCACTTGGCAGTGTTCTGCGTGGCGCTCACTTTCGTGTGGCACTTGGTGGGCACTGTTTGACTCTCACCTCTCTTCTTTGTGTCCATCAGTATGACGCCGTTCCCATTCAGTCCAGCGTTGTGTTATGTTCCTGCCCATCCCCATCCATGGTGAGGACCCAGACTGAGTCCAGTTCAGCCCCTGGTGTCCCAAGCGGTGGCAGCAGGCAGAACCCCACCATGGATGGCACCACAGCCGAGTCCCGGCCGAGTGCCACCTCCTTGCAGCATGCTGCCCAGCCACCGCCTCAGCCTCGGAAGAAACGGCCGGAAGATTTCAAGTTTGGGAAAATTCTGGGCGAAGGCTCTTTCTCGACCGTGAGTATCTGCTGCTGCCGTCTGACCTGTCGCAGTGCTTGGAGCTGGAGACTCAGGCCCGGGTGGGTCATGGGCATCCTGGAAGACCCCTACCATGGCAGTTCCGAGAAGTGGGGACCCAGGCTGCTGGTGGACGGGAAGCTCTGGAAAGCATTTCTTACTAGTTTATGGTTTTTCTTAAAAAATGTAATGAGTCTACCCTGACGTGGCAGCAGCAAGTCCCCTGCTGTGTCCTCAGGCCGCTTGGCAAGGCCTGGGAAGCCCCTGTGTGCACGTGCCTGCTCAGGTCTTGGGGAACACGGAATGACCTTTGCCCCGGGCGTTGGCCCACCTTGTAGCCTGCACACTCTGTCCCGCTGCACAGCTGTCACGTCACATGCCTGGGGTTCCCTGTCTGGCATTGTTTTCTGCTTGAGGAGCAGCTTCTTGGCTAAGAGGAGCACACAGAGCCATGCTGGCTGCGGCTGCCTTGTGACACCTGCTGCCTTCAGGATGCAGCCCCAGTTGGCCTCCCTGGAAGAGCTGGTCCTTGCCCTGGTCTGAGCTGGCTGCTCTGGATGGGGAGTTCCAGAACAGCTGAGCAATTTTTTGTTCAGAAAGCAGGTGTGAAAGTTGCATTCTTTGCCTTTTTTACCTTTATGAAATATTAAAAGATTTATGTGGAAGACAGAGTGGCAAAGGGTGAGGGAAAGACAGGGAAATCTTCAATTCCCCCAAATGTTTACTCCCCCAAATGGCTGTGACAGCAGGTCCTGGGAGGTGAAGCCAGGAGCCAGAAGCCGCAGTGCCATCTTCTACGGGGTGGCAGGGGCCGAAGGGCTTGAGCCACCTGCTGCTTCCCAGGCGCACAGTGCCGCTGAGTCAGAAGTGAGTCAGCTGGGGTCACACTGGACCCTCCTGAGTGACGTGCGCCTCTCCTGCTACAACACTCACCCGTAGGACTTTTTCAAGATTTATTTAATTTTATTGGAAAGTCAGATATACGGAGAGGAGGAGAGACAGAGAGGAAGATCTGTCCACTGATTCATTCCCCAAGCGGCCGCAATAGCTGGAACTGAGCCAATCTGGAGCCAGCAGCCAGGAGCTTCTTCTGGGTCTCCTCTGAGGGTGCAGGCTTCCAGAGCTTTGGGCCATCCTCCGCTGCTTTCCCAGGCCACGGCAGGGATGGGAAGTGGAGCAGCCAGGACACAAACCAGCACCCATATGGGATCCTGGCACGTGCAAGGCGAGGATTTAGCCGCCAAGCCGTTGTGCTGGGCCCAGACCAAGGTTTCACAGGGCCTGTGTCCTCTGCCCCTGGGCTGTGCTGCCCTCTTGCAGGAGCCTTCTGAGACACCTTTGATTACACTGGCTCCTGTGCGCGAGCTGCCTGCACTGTGGCCTGAGTGTGGCCGGGAGCCTGGGCTGCTTCCAGGCTGGCGGCTCAGGGTGCCACTTGCTTGTGCACAGTGGTCTTTTTATGTGAAACGCTGCTGGGCTGCACTCTGTCCCCAAGGGACTCTGACTCCAGGGCTCTGGGGGCGCCTGTTAGGGAGTAAGGGGGCCTTGAGGGAGGGTGCTGGGCTCCTCGGGACGGGACTCCAGGAGGGCTTTCTGCTGCTGGGCAGTTCCTGTGGCTGTTTATGGTATTTGAGCTTTTCAGTGAGTGAAGTGTGTGGTAACAATTGGCCTAAAGCCAGGACCACTTTATACACTGGCCATGTACTCAAGGATGTGTTCTTGAAGTTCTGTCTTAAAGAAATCCTCAGTGCACGCGGTAGGTGCTGTTTGCCACGTGTTCTGCTCCTTGCAATGGCTGTGGCAGTCTGCAGGGTTCCTGAATTTACGCTTTCATGGCATTGTGAGAACTACTGGCAGCTGATGAAGAAAGGAAACTGCTGATAATATGAGAGTATATTAACACACACGTCGGATTTCAGGAATTGTTGATGTGCCTGCACACTGGGTGGGGTGGGAGGTTGCGTGGTGTCACAGAGGTACTTGGGAGACTGGGGTGGCATGGCTATTACAATGTCTTTTTTCCCCCTCCCCTCCCCCCACCAAACTCCCTCCTGCCCCGCAACCAGGTTGTTCTGGCTCGAGAACTGGCAACTTCCAGAGAGTATGCTAGTAAGTACTGACTCAAGTAACCGTGGATGGTGACGGTGTGTGTGTGTGTCAGTGTCAGGAGCTGCCTGAGCAGTGTGTGTGTGTGTGTGTGTGTGTGTGTGTCTGTGTGTGTGTGTGTGTGTGTCTGTGTGTCTGTGTAGGCGCGCCAGCCTAAGCTGTGTGTGTGTGTGTGTGTGTGTGTGTGTGTGTGTAGGCGCGCGTCAGGAACAGCCTGGGCAGTGTGTGTGTGTGTGTGTGTGTGTGTGTGTGTGTGTGTAGGCGCGCGTCAGGAACAGCCTGGGCAGTGTGTGTGTGTGTGTGTGTGTGTGTGTAGGCGCGTGTCAGGAGCAGCCTGGGCAGTGTGTGTGTGTGTGTGTAGGCGCGCGTCAGGAACAGCCTGGGCAGTGTGTGTGTGTGTAGGCGCGCGTCAGGAGCAGCCTCTGTGTGTGTGTGTGTGTGTGTGTGTGTGTGTGTGTGTAGGCGCGCGTCAGGAGCAGCCTGGGCAGGTGTGTGTGTGTGTGTGTGTGTGTGTAGGCGCGCGTCAGGAACACCCTGGGGTGAATCAGGGTTGAGGGCACTCTTGGTTTCTGACACCGAGGAGCCAATGTGTGCAGTGTTTGGAGAACTTTAATGGTACCACTTTCCTTTATGAGCTGTTTTTACTCTGTCATTTTCGATTGTAGTAACTCACTTCTCTCTCACCTTAAGTTAAAATCCTGGAGAAGCGGCATATTATCAAAGAGAACAAGGTTCCATATGTGACCAGAGAGCGGGATGTGATGTCGCGCCTGGATCACCCCTTCTTTGTTAAGCTTTACTTCACTTTTCAGGACGACGAAAAGCTCTGTATCCTTTGTGTGGTCAGCGCCATGACCTCTTGCTGGACTCCCACCCGTGCGTCTGTGGGACTCTTTGGGTTGCTGCTGTCCCCAGAGGCAGCGAGCAGGGCTGAGGCTCCTGAAGTAAGAAGGGGACCACACTGGGCAGCTGGACAACGATCCTAGCCCTCCTTCTGCCCCACTCAGCCCTGAGGGAGGAGTCTGGCTGCTATTGGAGGGTCCCGGGAGTGACTCACAGGAGCCTGAGCAGTCTGCTGGTCCTGGGGCTGCTGCCACCGCCTCCCCCTCCCCCTGTGGCCGCTTCTGTGTGCTCCCCAGGACTCCCCAAACTGCTGCTCCAGCAGGGATGCGCGTGACCTCACACCAAGCCCTTGTGGCATTCCTTTTTTTTTTTTTTTAAGATTTATTTATTTTATTACAAAGATTTATAGAGAGGAGGAGAGACAGAGAGAAAGATATTCCGTCCGATGATTCACTCCCCAAGTGAGCACAACGGCTGATGCTATGCTGATCTGAAGCCAGGATCCAGGAACTTCTTCCGGGTCTCCCATGTGGGTGCAGGGTTCCAAGGCTTTGGGCCGTCCTCGACAGGTTCGCAGCAGGCTCTGCCGACTGTCTTCTGGTGCCATCTGGGTCCTTTCCTTCATCTCCATCTCTGTGCTAGTGCTCATGAAGCAGCCGCCAGGGCCCCTGCGTGTCTGTTGTGTGTCTCTCCTCCTGGGCTGTCCTGACCCCTGCTTTCCTGTCCCTGCTTGCTGGCTGCTGTTGGCTGTGGCAGAATCCCACGGCTCCGTGTCCTCCCAGAGTGACAGGTGGAGAGACTTCGGGTCTTTGTTAAGTAGCTTGTTGCAAAGTCCAAACTACTGCAGGGTTCTGAGGGCGCACTCACCTCCACAAGGATGGGCCCAAGACTCCTGGTGCAAGCGGAAGGAAACAGTTTGCGTGAAGGCATTGCCTGGCTGTTATGCTGTCCTCCATTGCGCTGTCATGTCACTGAGGCAGGAGGGGAGCATTCATTTGCCTATTGCTGCTCTTGGGCTTACAGGCAAACCTGCAACTCCCAAAACAGGCGCAGTGCGCTGGAGCCTAGGGACATGGCCACAGCAGCTTGAGAATAGGCATCCAACTCAGAGCCTAAGCAGCTGGGTCCCTCCTCCCCCAGCCCTGGGGAAGGCAGAGGTAGCCGTCAGCTGTGGTGGTTCGGCTGGTTGGTTCCGCTCAAGCCAGTGTACACATGCTGTCCTTGTGATGTTCCCAGTGCCGGGGAGGGACAGGATTGCCACATTAGGCTCAGGAGGCTATGCCTGGTCCTGTCACCTTTGCTTTGTGACCTGGGGTCAGTTGCTAGGCTTTCTGGGTCAGTGCCTTGTGTAGGCATCTCCCCCAGGAATTCCTGGCCTGCAGGAGAGAGCAGTGTGCCCTTATGCTCGCTGACCCAGAACCTTGGTTGCTACAGGAGAGGTAGCAAGTGTGCTGAGAACTCACAGTGGGCTGAAGAGACATGAGGGGCTCGCCTGGGATGAGAGAGCAGTAGGCTGGAACAGTAACCCTGAGCATGCACTCATGACTTAGTGAGGTGAGATCGGGGATGCCACTTCATGGCTGATTGGGCTCCTGGTGAGGCTCTGGCCGTCTCAGTGGAACTGCCCATCTGGCCTTGCCGTTGAGGTGATCATGATCATGAGGCATTGGACGAAGAGGCCCATGGGTGTGGGGACAGGGTACGATGAGGAGAGCCTAGCATAGACCCTTTGCATTCTCTGAGGAGTGTTTTGTTTATGGTTCTGGTTCCTGAAGCAGTTATCACACTGTGTCCAAGGTGAGAGGGCCTGGTGGTCCTCCTGCCGGGTTGGTCCTCATTGTCTGAGGCCTTCAGCTCCTTCCTTGCTGTGGGGTGATGGTGCATCAGTGGGCAGGTCAGTCAGAGCCCCAGCTCTGCTCAAGGCCAGCAGTGACTTGTGTTGGAGACTGCCAGGGAAGATTAGGAATCTGGGGGGATGGCTGCCAGACACATGCTTTCTGGGAGACGCTTACGTGGGCTTTAATCCTTGTGAGTTTTCAATCCTCTTGGCAAAAGTCATAGAAATGGTACAGCACTGCGGTCCTGGGCAGCAGAGGGCGTGTCCCGTGTCTCTCCTCAGCGAGTGCCTTACAGATGGAGCTGAGGAGTTGACACAAGGGCTTGTCTCTCAGGAAATGTGTCACTTGTGCACAAAGGAGCATTTGTAGAAGGAGGAGGCACAGGGGTAGGCTGTGGAGAGCCTCAGACAGGGTTAGCCAGCAGCTCCAGCTCTGTGCTGACACTTGGATGTCGGAGACCCCGGCCTGCTCTCCTGAGGCCGCTGTCACTTCACATGTGTGTCTGGACTCTTGCTGGCTGCTTGTGTGTTTCTTGTAAACTCATTGCACATGCGTTTTACACTTAATAGTTCTGCACACACATGTACTTGACGTGTGCTTGCAGGCTAAACGTGTGTCTGTGTGTCTTGTGCGCTTGCTGGCTGCACACGCATGCCCACGTGCTTGCTAGTTGCACACGTGTGCCTGGTGTGTGCTTACAGGCTCCACACGTGTCTGCTACGTGTCTTACACCCTTGATGGCTGTGTACGTTAGTCTGTTGTACCCTTACTGCACACGTGTGCCTGCTGTGAACTTGACTGCACAGGCGTGTTTACCTGTGACCAAGGCTGCAGGTCCTGCTGGGCGCCTCTAGTGGAACTCTCTTGATACCTCTGGGGATGGTGTGGTCCAGGGTGGCTACCAGGCTGAGAGTGCTGTCCGTGTTCTCCAGGGACTGCGTCAGGGTGCTCCTGGTAAGGCACCCCATGCTGGCCCGAGGGCTCAGAGCTGGCCTGGAGTGCTGGCACAGCCAGGGACCAGGAACTGACTCCTACTTTCCTTGGCCACAGTATGCACTTAGCATTGAGGTGGAAAAAGTTTTTTTTGTTGGGCTGTCAAGGCTAGTGCTTACAAATGCTCTTCCTTAACTATGTAATCAGATTTTGGCCTTAGTTATGCCAAAAATGGAGAACTACTTAAATATATTCGCAAAATTGGTTCTTTTGATGAGACCTGTACAAGATTTTACACTGCTGAGATTGTGTGTGCTCTGGAGTACCTGCACGGCAAGGGCGTCATCCACAGGTAACTGGCCTCGGGCGGCCTTGGCAAGTCACTTCAGTCACCAGGGCAGGACTTCAGGACTCATTGCTTCAGTTGATGCCATCGCTGGGGTTGGCTCTCTGGGTCTGCCATGTCTGACTCTGTGCAAGGCGGGAGAGGTACCAGATGGTACCTCACTATGGGAGCTGCAGAGGGAGAGACCAGAGACAGGCAGCTCTGGATGAGTTGAAATTCACCTTTAAGTGTTGGAACAGCAGGCAGCCCAGGTGTCATTTTTGTCATTTTGTCAGTTGTAGCTTTTTTGTGTACTTCTCCTGTCTCATTTTCTGTTAAAGCCCTATTAGAAGTGTTTCTAAACCCTTTGTGTATGAGTCTGTAAAGTGGTGTGTGTAGTCCACACGCCTGCATGTCCTTTTTTGTCCGTGAATTTGGGGTTGTGCTTCTGGTTGGCCCTGCCCATTGGTTTGCTCATATTCAGCAGTGCCCAGGGGTGTGGTAAGCCTCTCTTTTAAGTACTTCACTTCCCATGTGAATTCTTTTATAGGGACCTTAAACCAGAAAACATCCTGTTAAATGAAGACATGCACATACAGATCACAGACTTTGGAACAGCCAAGGTGTTGTCTCCAGCGAGCAAGCAAGGTATGTGAGTTTCTAAGCCCAGAGAGGGCTCAGCTGTGTACTGGGGCCTGCTTCCAGCCCCTTGGGAGTGCACTACTCCCGAGCGTGTGGGGCCTTTGCTGCTGAAGGCAGGGGCTGGGCTGTCTCAGGCGAGGGTCCTGCATCGGGGATCTCTGTATACAGAAAGGAGGAGAGATAAAGAGGAGGATCTCCCATCTACTGATTCACTCCCCAAGCAGCCGGAATCCAGAACCAAGAGCCTCCTCCAGGTCTCCCACATGGGTGCAGGATCCCAAGGCTTTGGGCCGTCCTCAACTGCTTTCCCAGACCACAGGCAGGGAGCTGGATGGGAAGCAGGGCCGTCAGGATTATAACCAGCGCCCATATGGAAACCCGGCGCGTGTAGGGCGAGGACTTTAGATGCTAGGCCACCGTGGCAGTCCCTTTATTATCATTTTAAAGATTTATTTTCTTACTTGGAAAGCAGAAATTATAGAAAGGGAGGTAGGGAGGGAGAGGTCTGTCAGTCTGCTTGTCCATTCTCCAGGTGGCCGGCAGCCGGCAAAGCTCCGGCGCTTGCTCTTCTGCTTGCCCAGGCGCGCTGGCGGGGAGCGTCATTGGGAGAAGGGCTACCAGGAGTCAGAGCGATGCCCACTTCCGTAGTCAGACCCTGAGAATTCCCTTGACTTTCTCTCTGCTGATTTGATGCACCAGGTTTTCATTTGCATCTCTTCGGTTCTTTATGTAGTCGAATGGCTTTCATTGTGTTTGGCTCTATGATTTCTTCCATTTTAGAATTCTTTCTTTTTTGTAACATCATTCAGGGATAGAAATGATACCATGTTTTTGTTTTTTTGTTTATTTTGTTTCTAAATTCACTTATTTTGAAAGTCTAGGTTGCAGAGAGGGAGGAATGATGAGACAGAGATCTTGCAAGCCTTGGTTCACTCCCCACATGGCTATGACAGCCAGTCCTGGGCCACGCCCGATTTAGGACTCAGGAGCTTCATCTGGGTCTCTCCAGTGGGTGGCAGGGTCACAAACACTTAACCATCTTCTGTTGCTTTTCCCATGCTAATTGCAGGGAGCTGGATTGTAAGTGGAGTTCTGGGACAAATTGGCACCCATGTGGAATGCTGACGTGCACTACCCACAATGCCTGCCCCAGCCGTGGTCTTGGCATGAAAATGGTTTACTGAAGGGACCAAGGCTGTGAGCCTCCCCGGGCCTGGGCGCAGGACAAGGAACGGGCAGCCCAGGGCGCTGTGACTGCTGTGTTGAGGTCTGGGCCTTCTGTGCCCCAGGCTGCTCGGTCAGCCACTTGGCAGCTGAGGGAACCTCTTGGTTCTTGGCAGCACGAGCATCTCCAGCGAAGAGGGGTTCAGTCTTGTGTGTGCAGGGAGTTGTGCATCCTGTGTCGCAGGTACCAGGACCAGAGGCGGCAGAGCCTGAGTCTTGCTCCTTCTGTGGGCCCTTAGTTCCTGAGGGCTGTCCCTGCGTGACTATGACTTGTCTGCTGTGTGTTTTAGCAACTCAGTTCTTTTTTTTAAAAAACAACACTTTTTTTTTAAGATTTTATTAAATTTTTTAATTGGAAAGGCAGATATATAGAGCGGAGGAAAGACAGAGAGGAAGATCTTCTGTCCATTGGTTCACTCCCCAAGCGGCTTCAATGGCTGGAGCTGAGCTGATCCGAAGCCGGGAGCTTGGGGCCTCTTCTGGGTCTCCCACACGGGTGCAGGGTCCCAAGGCTTAGGCCTGTCCTCCACTGCTTTCCCAGGCCACAAGCAGGGAGCTGGATGGGAAGTGGAGCTGCCAGGATTAGAACCGGCATTCATATGGAATCCCAACATGTTCAAGGCGAGGACTTTAGCTGCTAGGCTACTGTGCCAGGCCCAGCAGCTCAGTTCTTACTGGTAGAATAGACATGTCTCTGTCCTTTGGGTGCCCCATTCTTGTGGGGCTACTGCCTGCAATGATGGGTGAGTAAGATGAGCTGTTTTGTAGGCATGTAACAGGCGGGAAGGGCCAGGAAGGAGGGGCACAGTATTCTAGGACCAGCAGATGTCCGTGAGTGGAGGGCCTTGGAGGCAAACCCGCAGGCACTCTGCCATTCCACCATGGGTAACCAGGCTGTGCTGCCAGGGAGGTCTGGTCCACCCAGTTGAGGCCACGCTGTCTGTGGGATAAGCCGTGCTGGGGCTGCTCTGCTGGTCCCTGATGGTCCCTGGAGGCATCTCTGAGCATGACCTTCTGTTTCTCCCTCTTCCCAGCCAGGGCCAACTCGTTCGTAGGAACGGCGCAGTATGTTTCTCCAGAGCTGCTCACGGAGAAATCAGCCTGTAAGAGGTAACCAGCTTCAGTCTGCCCTCAACTTCTTCCTCCTGTGGCTAGGAAGCTTTTGACAGAGTACCTCAGGCTGTAAATTGTCCCAGCATGCTTTGCAGGAAGTTAGCATTCTACTTCCCACCACTGTTTTCCCTGACTCATGCTTGTTATGTAGTTTACACTTCCTGGGTTGGTGGTTGCTTTTTGGTTACTGGTTTGATCCTGATCTTCAGGAAATCTGCCCTGCCAGGTGGGGCAGGGGGGATGTCCACCGTGTCCATAGCACTCGGGACCCCTCTGTCACCGGCTGGGGAGCTGTGGGAGGGGCAGCCAAGGGTAGGTGGAGGAAGTTGCAAGTGGTGCTCTCTGAGGCTTCCAGTGCTGGGCCGGGGCAGGAGGCGGGGCAGGTGTTCTCCTGGTAAGCTGTGAAAGTGCTAGTCGGTAGGGGGAGCATCTCTCCACAGGGCAGCTGAGCCTCAGAGGAAGGATGCTCGCACAGCTGCTGGCCATTTACAGGGAGAGCACAAGGCCCTGTGCTGCGTGGGACCAAGAGGTGGTATTAGAATGTGGAATTCAGAAGTGTGGGGAGCTGGGGTGTCATGGCCTAAAGGGTAAAGTTGCGACCTGCAATGCCAGCATTCCCATTTGGGTGCCAGTTATTGTCTTTCCTGCTCAGCTTTGGATCCAGCTTCTTAGTGGTGTGTCTCAGGAAGCAGTACACGATGGCCCAAGTGTTGGCCGTCCATGTGGGAGACCCCGGTGCAAGTTCCTAACTTCTGCCTGGCCTAGTCACGGGGAGGGTTGAGGTGGGAGGTTGTGAATGACAGATGAGAGGTCTCTGTCTCTCCCTCTCTCTGTGGCTCTGACTTCCTGTGTGGGAAGTACCTCCAGGATGGCAGGGCTTATGGCAGGAAGGATGGCTGGGGTTCCTTGCACGCCATGCCAGGCAAAGACTGCTTCCTGGCACACTGATCCCTCACCTGAGTTGGTAGTGCGGTACTGTCCATGTCTGGCTGTGGGAGGTCCCAGGGTGTGACCTTAAATGACAGGAGCCACTCTGAGAGAATAAATGACGGAGTGCAGGGATTTCTAAGGTTGACAACTTCAAAAATAAATAAATAAATAAAATTGTAGGTTTAGGGAGCCCTGGACAGAAATCTTACGACAAGACCCGAAGGAAGGGTGAGCAGCACCCTGGGGCGATGCAGTCTCCAGGCTGCTTTGGTTTTTACAAATGTTTATTTAGGGCCCAGTGCAATGGCTTAGCTGGCTAATTCTCTTGTGAAGCGCCAGGATCCTAATGGGTATAGGTTCATATCAGCTTCCAGCTCTATGGTGGTGGCCTGGAAGAAGCAAGAGTAGATGGCCTGGGTGCATTGTGACAGCCCAGTGGCTAACTCCTTGCCTTGCATCTGCCAGGATTCGGTGCCAGTTTGTATCCTGGCTGCTGCACTTCCTATCCAGCTCCCTGCTTGTGGCCTGGGAAAGCAGTGGAGGACGGCCCTAAGCCTTGGGACCCTGCACCTGTGTGGGAGACCCGGAAGAGGCCCCATGCTCCCGGCTTCGGATCGGCTCCAGCCATTGAGGCTGCTTGGGGAGTGAACTAGCGGACAGAAGATCTTTCTATCTTTCCTCCTCTCTATATACCTGCCTTTCCAATAAATAAAAATAAAATAATTTTTAAAAAAAACAACAAAGAACGATACCCCAAGTCAAGTGTTTGGACCCTGCGACCCATGTGGGCTGTGCAAAGAGAGCTGGGTGCGAAGTGGCCCAGCGTTGGCCATTGTGGTCAAGTGGGAAGTGAATCAGCAAATAGAAGATTCATTCTCTCTCTCTCTCTCTCTCTCTCTCCCCCCCCCTCCACCTCCCCATTCCTCCTTCACTCTTTCCTCTTGCCTTTTCTCTCTGTTTTCTTCTTTTCTGTCTGTAAAATAAACCTTAAAAAGATTTCCTTCTTTTTTTTAAGATTTATTTATTTTTATTGGAAAGTGAGATATACAGAGAGGAGGGAAAAGAGAGGAAGATCTTCCGTCTGGTGGGTCACTCCCCAAGTGCTGCGGTGGCTGCAGCTGAGCCGATCTTAAGGAGCTTCCTCTGTGTCTCCCACGTAGGTGAATAATGGTCCTAAGGCTTTGAGTTGTTCTTGACTGCTTTCCAAGGCCCTAAGCAGGGAGCTGGGTGGGAAGTGGAACAGCTGGGACATGAACCAGCACCATATGGGATCCTGGCGCATGCAAGGAGAGGACTTTAGCTAGGAGTCTATCACGCCGGGTCTCTGAAAAATATTCTTGGAAAATAAATCTCCCAGATCATTCAGTACTTAAAAAAGTTTGCTATATGTATGTCTGGTCAATTTGTCCCTTCCATTTTCTGTATTTTACAGTAGTTCTTAGCTGTTAGTGTCATCCTGGATGGCCAATTTCTGACCATTGAGATCATTATCGTGAACCTTTTCCCATATGATTGAAATTATCAGCTGCGTGATTTTCTTTTTTAAGATTTATTTTATTCATTTGAAAGGCAGAGTGATAGGAGGAGAGGAAGAACGAGCTGTTTCCATCTGCTGGTTCACTCCCCAGAAGGCCACAGTGGGCGGTTTTGGACCTGGTCCTGGCTGAAGGCAAAAACTGGAGCTCCATCCAGGTCTCACCTGAGGAGGCAGGGGCCGAGCGCCTGCTCAGACACATTGACAGGAAGCCAGATTGAAAGTAGAGCAGTTGGAAATCATGCTAGCGCTGCATCTGCGTTGGCTTTCCACACAGCGCCACAGCGCTGCCGTGCTGAGGTTGTTGTGTCTGATGTGTTCCTTGCTGCTGGGCTCTGCGTGGCGCTCCTGTTCCCGCATGTGGCAGGGCCTCTGTGCTACCAGGCTGGGTGTCGCAGCCTGGCTGCGGTGAGTCCCTCTGCATTTGAAGGGCTGACCCAGCTTGTGCCTGTTCCCAGGGCTCTGCATGGCACCCGTGGTAGAGCTCTGCTTACAGTGCAGTCCCTGCTCAGATCACCGGCTGCCTGCCAGGAAGCATTAGCAGGAAGCTAGATTAGCAGTGGGGTCTACTGGGGCACATGCGCCAAGTGCTCTGATGCAGGAGGCTGGTGACCTGCCGCACAGAACCTGCCCGTAAGCGATTATAGTTTGAAATCTACCTCCAGTGCCTTGGCTGTGCCAGGCCTTGTGGGTGCTGGTGATCTGCAGTACCAGGACATAGACTTCCCCCAGGAGCCTGGTACTGTGCTGGTCTGTTGTTTCGAGGGATGGTTTTCACCACACCTTATTATTTCATCCTCCAGAACCTGTGTTGGCAGCCCCTGAGCCCTGCATAAACCCTGGTGCTTAGAGGGAGGGGCCAGGAATAGACGAGAAAGCTAGACCCCAGACATGCCTGTCAAGCTGCTGCCCATGCAGCAGGGCTTTGAGCCTGGCTGTGAGAATGAAGGCTAGGAGGTGGAGTGAGAGCAGATGTGAAGGGCAGAGCTCAGGACGGGGGCCAGGGTCTACAGTTGGCCATGTTCTCAGAAAACAACTGACAGAAATTGATGGCTAGGGACTAGCACTGTGGAACAACATCTTAGACCTCTGCCTGTGCACCTGCGTCCTGTATGGGTGCTGGTTCGAGACTTGCCTGCTCTGCTTCTGAGCCATCTCCTGCTGATGGCCTGGGAAAGCAGCAGAGAATGGCCAAGTACCTGGAACCCTTGCACCCACGTGTGAGAGGCCTGGAGAAGGCTGCTGGGTCCTGGTTTCACACTGAACAACCCCAGCCTTTGCGGCTATTTGGAGAGTGAACCAGCGGATGGAAAATTCTCTCTCTGTCTTTCTTCTCTGTTATTCTGCCTTTCAAATGAAAGCTAATGAATCTTAAAAAATAATAAGAAGAAATCGATGCCTGTACTATTTTATTTCTGCAGTACTTAATGGGAATGTTCAGAGGAGGCACAGGGTGTGCAAAGCCCTGCCCTTGGGCGACTGTGCCTTTACACGCTTAGACGTGCGCAGCGACTGGGTCTGAGCTGTCCTGACTTGCTGCTGACTGGGGCAAGCCCTCCTGCTGACCTCAGCACCTCCACACACAGGGAGGGTGCTGTCGAGTCAGGTTTTCCTCTGAAACTGAAGTTGGCCTTGCCTGTAACAACTGACCCGTGCCCAATGCGCAGCAGCTCAGCTCTCTCCCTTCATGGAAGTTTTCATGGCTTTGCAGGCCAGCTGCTGAGCAGCGTGGGTCTCGGGGAGGCCTCCCAAGGAGGGCGGTGTCCTCTGCTGGCCTCAGCAGAGCGGGGTGCAGACAGATGGAACTTGAGCTGAACTTGCTGCTTCAATGTTACCAATGCTTTTTTCTGTTCTTTTCCACACCTTAAAGTTCAGACCTTTGGGCTCTAGGATGCATAATATACCAGCTTGTGGCAGGATTACCACCGTTCCGAGCCGGGTAAGGAGATGGCACCCCTGAGCTTCCGAGCCCCTCGCGTGCACTGCCCACCGCCATACTGTCTGTGCCTCCCTGGTGGAGTCGTGGTCGGGGCGGAGCAAGGGCTGTGTCCAGTGACTCCGGTCACCTCTGTCTGACTGGCACTGGGCTCCAGGGCGAGTGCTGTCAGCATGGGGAAGTGTGTGCACCTTGCTGGGAATGACTGCTGCTCGTCTCTCTTTGCATCCCACAGGAATGAGTATCTTATATTCCAGAAGATCATTAAGTTGGAATATGACTTTCCAGACAAATTCTTCCCTAAGGCAAGGGACCTTGTGGAAAAGCTCCTGGTAAATGTTTCTGTGCTTCTGCCGGGCGGCGGGGGTGAGGCGCAGGCTCTGCTCATTCTCTCTGATTCTTAGTTCCTTTCTCCAACAGCCTTGACTTTATTAAAGAAAAAAAATTAGTTTTAGTTTCCAGCAGATTCAGTGTAGTTTGTAGATGCAAAAAAATTTTTTTTTGGATTTTTTTAATTTGAAAGGCAGAGAATATAATGATATTCCCTTCCTCCTGCTCCCCTTCCCTCCCTGACACAAATGATAAGATGCAAGTTATTGTCTCGTTTGCTCTTCAGCATCTGGAGTTACTGATGGGAGAGTCCAGGGGCTGTGAACCCAAGTCTGTTTGTGTCAGATTTTTTTCTCTTTTCTTTTTTTGAAGATTTATTTATTTTTATTGGAAAGTCAGATATACAGAGAGAGGAGAAACAGAGAGGAAGATCTTCCATCCGATGATTCACTCCCCAAGTGAGCGCAACGGCCGGTGCTGCGCCAATCCAAAGCCGGGAACCAGGAACCTCTTCTGGGTCTCCCATGCGGGTACAGGGTCCCAAAGCTTTGGGCTGTCCTCGACTGCTTTCCCAGGCCACAAGCAGGGAGCTGGATGGGAAGTGGAGCTGCCGGGATTAGAACCGGCGCCCATATGGGATTCCGGTGCGTTCAAGGCGAGGACTTTATCCTCTAGGCCACGCTGCTGGGCCCCAGATTTTCTTTATAAATATTTATTTATTTGTTAGAATGTAAAGTGACAGAGGGAGAGACAGAGAGGTCTTGCATCCATTGGCTCACTCCTCAGGAGCCTGGACCTTCGTCTTAGTCACTGCCGTGGCGGCAGAACCCCATGTGCTGGGGTTGTGTCACCAGGAGCTGGGACGTGAGCCAGCATGCTGCGCTGGAAATACTGATTTACGTGCTGAGCCGTGTGTTGGTCTTTCTTTCTTCCTTTCTTTCTTTTTTTTTTTTTCAAGATTTATTTGAAAGGCACAGGTAACAGAGAGAGAAGGGGAGACACAATGAGATAGAGAGCTCTTCTATCCATTGATTCATTCCCCAAATAAGTGCAGTGGTCGTCCTGGGTCAGATTGGAACCCAGAGCTTCCTCTGGATCTCCCGCATGGGTCTGAGGGCCCACTTGGGTCATCTTTGCTCTCCCAGGCTTATTGGCTGGATTGGAAATGAGACAGTTGTTGCCCATGTAAGGTGCTTGTGTTGGAGGTGGAAGCTGCCTGCTGCTCTGCATCACCAGCCCTGATAGAGTCAATACTTTAAACAGTTGACTGGCATCATGGTGCAGCACAAGGTGCCACCTATGACACTCGCATTCCAGATGGGTACTGGGCCAAGTTCCAGCTTGACTTGCTCTTCACTGTATCCTGTGATTGCATTTGAATGCACCTGTAGGAAGGAAGGATGGAGAGGAGAGAGAGGTGGGGGAGCCCCAGGCTGGGCGTGAGGATGGCCGTGGACCTGCTAGTGACTTACCGTGACTATGACTTAAGGTTTTAGATGCCACAAAGCGGTTAGGCTGTGAGGAGATGGACGGGTACGGCCCTCTCAGAGCTCATCCCTTCTTTGAGTCCATCACATGGGAGAACCTGCATCAGCAGACACCCCCGAAGTTGACCGCCTACCTTCCGGCCATGTCTGAGGACGACGAGGACTGCTATGGCAACGTAAGTGATTTTGGTGTGGCCCGGCATGGCAGCTGAGGCTCCTGCCCTGCAGGCCCAGCGTCTGTTAGAGGAATGAGCTAGGCCTGTGGCTGGTGGAGCGCTTGGCTGCCACAGTCAGTGGTCTGCAGGGGACCTTTGGTTGGATGAATTTTTCTCTCTGGTTTCCCTCCCCTCCCACCAGTCCAAACAGACACACTAAAAGTTGTGTGCTGTCGGTGTTACTGAGTTTCTGAGTGAACTCCTGTACTCGTGACATTCCAGCCAGGGACAATGTGTGAAATTCAGTGCAGTGGACAAAATTCTAGATTGCATCTAAAAATCAACCACAGCCAGATTACAAGTGCTACTGGTTTTAGCTCTTGCAGAGAGAAGGTTCCTATGTTTTCTGCCTGCTGTCTGGCACAGCCTCCACCTCCTCCCCACCTCATTTTTTTATTTATTCGAAAAGGAATAGTTACAGATTGAGCATGCATGAATGCGTGCTCAGGAAAGAGATTTTGCACCTGCTGGTTTACTTCCCAACTGGCTGCAATGACCAGGGCTGGGCCAGGCTGAAACCAGGAGCCAGGAGCTTCCTCTGGGTCCCCCATGTGGGTGTAGGGACCCAAGCACGTCCCTCCCAGGCACGTTAGCAGGAAGCTGGATGGGAAGTGGAGCAGCCGGGACATGAACCAGTGCCCCTAGGGAATGCTGGTGCTGCATGCAGTGGCGTAACTAACTGTATGGCAGAGTCACAGTCTTCTCAGCCATCCTTCTCCTCTCCTGAAATGCCCTTTCTGTTCAGACTCAGGGAGCCAGGCTTGGAGAGCGTCTTTGGCCCCCTTGTTCTCCCACTGCACCCCACTCTCCTGCCTGCGGCCCTCTTGATGCTCCATGGGATGCTGTTCTTGGGGATCAGCTGCCGCAGCCAGTGGATCCCACAGAGCCCACCATACCAGGTCTGCTTGCCCTGTGCCAGCTGCCACAGGCAATGGGTCCCACAAAGCCCACCCCACCAGGTCTGCCTGCCCTGTGCCAGCTGCCGCAGCCGGTGAGTCCCACAAAGCCCACCCCACCAGGTCTGCCTGCCCTGTGCCAGCTGCCGCAGCCGGTGGGTCCCACAAAGCCCACCCCACCAGGTCTGCCTGCCCTGTGCCAGCTGCCGTAGCCGGTGGCTCCCACAAAGCCCACCGCACCAGGTCTGCCTGCCCTGTGCCAACTGCAGAGCCCACCCCACCGCACCAGGTCTGCCTGCCCTGTGCCAGTGTCACGGACTGGCAACTGGCATTTTAGTCGTTAGGTCCCATACCCTGTTACTGGTCACTGGTGTGGGGCAGCTGAGTTCTGAAGGTGTCCAGGGGCTGTAGTGCTTGGTAGCTCAGGGACTGGGCATTTGTCTGGAGGAGGCAGTGAGCGCTTGCTGCCCTCTCCGCCCAGTGCTGGCTGCCCTGTGTGTCTGGAGGCGTTACCTCTTGGTTCACTGGCTTGCAGTGAGTTGGTTTGTGCTCAGCCTTGAGAAGTGCTGCCTGAGAGCTCTGTGGAGCTGATGTCACAGACAGTGAGGCAGGCAGAAGATGACACCGTGAACAGTGTCTGCCGGTGTGGGAGGTGTTGGCCATGTCCCCGCAACAGGAAGCATCTCCGCCTGACCTGGGCGTGAGGCAAGCAGGTTCCCCCGTGTCCCCACATGTCCTGATGTCGCAGTTGTGGTTGGGGAAGGGACCTTGCCTCAGTCTAGGTCTCTCTCAGGCGCTCATCCTGCATGGCCTTTGAGCACGTGAGCAGTGGCTCTGGCAGAACTGGGCGTCTTTGGAGGAAGGGGGTGGGGCAGCCCTGCGAGGCCCTGATGCATGTGAAGCATGACCTCAAGCCAGTGTTTATTTGTTTAAGATTTCTTTATTTTTACTTGAAAGAGTTAACACAGAGAAGGAGAGTCGGAAGACAGATCTGTTGGCTAGTTCATTGCCCAGTAGCCACGGTGGCTCAGGTTAATGTGAGCGTCGGGAGCTCAAGCACTTGTGCCATTTTGCGCTGCTTTCTCAGGAGCAAAGTGTCAGCAGGGAACTGAATCACAGCCGTGGGACTTACCTGGCCTCACCAAGTGATTGTGCTGTTACTGAAACTCTTTCCCAGTTTTCTCCTGGCAACCTTTGTGTGTGTATCGTGTCTAGTCTTTGCTGAAATTAGAAGAATACTCATTTTCAGAGTTGACCACCAGCACTGAATTAGAGCGTCATTACTGACGCCAGGGTTAGGATCCCACAGAACACTTGGCCCAGCTGCCGTCATGCCCCTCCATGGAAATGCTGCACGTGCACTGGTCGCCTCTCTCCCTGGCAGGTCTGGTCTCTGGGGACCTGTTGGGGTCACGTTGCGTGAGGGTCCTAGGGCCCCTCTTGGAAATGAAGACTGGACGTTCACCCTTTGCTTACCCCTGTTCCTATGGGGAAAGACTGCCTCAGTTCTGTGGCCAGCTGTCTAGGGGAACAGCATCAGAGCTGCCCTGGCCTTTGCAGGAGAAATAACACTACTTCCCTTGCTGTGGGAGAGGTGGGGGGAGGGGGCTCTCCTGGGTGTGTGAGTATGTGTGTGTGGGTGGGTGGGCTCTCCTGGGTGTGGAGTGTGTGTGAGAGAGACCTGGGGAGGTGAGTAAAACGCTTTCTGCTCTCTCCTGCAGTACGATAACCTCCTGAGCCAGTTTGGCTGCATGCAGGTGTCAGCCTCGTCCTCCTCCCACTCCTTGTCTGCCACAGACGCCGGCCTGACCCCGAGCTCCGGCAGCAACATAGAGCAGTACATCCACGATTTGGACACTAATTCTTTTGAACTGGACTTACAGTTTTCTGAAGATGAGAAGAGGTTGTTACTGGAGAAGCAGGCCGGTGGAAACCCCTGGTAAGGTCCTCCTTTAGGAAGGTGTGGGCTAGGGCATGGTGGCCCAGGATGGCACTGCGGTGGAACCTTGCTCACGCCTCCAGTGCTCCAGAGGGAACAGAGCAGGGCAGAGGGGTGTGGACAGCCTCCATGTGCCCAGGCCCCGCTCCAGCCGAGTTCGGAACTCGAGAAGGGTGCGTGGAGTAGGTGTAGAGAAAATAAAACAGACCACTACGATTCCAGGATCGTAATGGACCGTGCGAGAAAGCTGTCCGCTTCATTTATACAGAAACAGTCACAAACTCCGGCACAGACTTTTTACGTCAAGGTCAAATAGGTGTTTCCAAGGGTAATTCTGCCATTTGTTTCACCTTAAAGCAGGATGTTCTCCATCCTGAGCCTGGGTCAGGAAGTTCTCAATATCGTAGCAATCAGTAACACATTCCAGCTACAGTCTTCATTCTACAGCTTAGTCTTGAATCAGTTAAGGGAGGAAATGCATCGCAGAAGGAAGGACCTGAAGGTCAAGGATGGTCAATGAGGGCAGCAGAGACAGGGACAGCATGAATGTAAAAAACCCTTCAATAGAGTAGAGAGAGAGAATCAGTCTTCCATCTGTTGGTTTACTCCCCAAATGGCTGCAATGACCAGAGCTGAGCCTATCCAGAACCAGGAGCCAGGAGCTTCTTCCAGGTCTGTCACATGGGTGCCAGGACCCAAGGACTTGAACCATCTTCTTTTGCTTTCCCAGGCCGTAAGCAGGGAGCTGGATGGGAAGTGGAACAGTAGGAAACAAACCGGCACCTGTATGGGATGCTGGCGCTGTGGAGGAGTTTTGGCCTGGTGTGCCATGGCACTGGACCCGCCATCCTCATCTTCATGTCAGCTTCCCCCTGTCCTAGGCATGGCCAGTGTCGGTGTGGATTCTGTAGGACATCTGATGATCTGGACCAGCAGTGCAGGGAGCTTGTGCTTCTCAGTGGTCCTGCCTTCTTCAGTTCCTTGTGAATTTTTATTTTTATTTACTTTTATTTATTTGGATGACTGAGTGACAGAGATAGAGATCTTGCATCTATTGGTTCACTCCCATACTGTCTACAGCAGCCGGGGTTGGCCCATGCAGCAGCCGGGAACTATGCACTGTCCCAGGCGTTCCCAGGACAGGTGTGGGCGTCCGAAGCAGCAGTCCTCACATTTTGACATTTAATCAGCTACTTGAGAGGCATAGAAAAACAGACAGACACATGCCCTAACCCCTCCCCCACCCACCTTTCAGCTCCTAATTTCCCCTAAATTCTTGCAGCAGCCGTGCCTGGGTCAGGGTGAAACCAGGATCCCAGAGCAGCACTCAGTCTGGTCTCCTTTGTGGTAATTTCTGCGAGTGCCTGCTGCTGTCCAGGTGTGCCTCTGCAGGCAGCTGGCATTGGGAGCCAGGGCTTGAAGCAGGTTCTCTGATGGGGGGCAGGCATTCTAAATGCCATCTCAGCTGCCACACCTAAGGCCCACCCCTGTTTTGCATCTTAAGGCACAGATGTATATGGGGAAGCCCTTGGCAGATGTTTGCTTTAGTGTGTGTTTAGTCTGGGGATGGTGTGTTAGTTGCAGATGCTGACACCCTCTAATGCCCAGCCCAGGGAGGGAGAAGCCCTTTCTGCATGAAGCTTCTTCGTGTGAGTCACGCTTACCTTCCATGTGCAGAGCCGAGCAGTGCTCCTGGCAGACGTGCAGGCCTGCTGGGTGGGAAAAGGCAGGAGGGAGGGCATGCATGGCCTAGAGGACTTCAGCGGGGAGGGGTCAGCTGTTAGCCATGGATCCCTGAGCAATCGGGAGGAAAAGTTACGTGTAGGTAACAGTTCAATATTTATAATTCTGGAAGCCAGCTTTGTGGTACAGCAACATTTCTCATGGGCGCAGAGTTGAGTCCTGGCTGCTCCAGTTCCAACCCAGCTCCCTGCTAATGAACTTGAGAAGGTCACAGAGCATGCCCCAAGGGCTTCCCATGTGGGAGACCATGAAGAAGCTCCTGGCTCTTGGCTCTCCAGCTCCAGCCATCATGGCCGTTTGCGGATTAAACCAGTGAATGGAAGGTGTTTTTCTAAGTCTGCCTTTCAAATAAATAATTAGATCAGTCTTTTTTTTTTTTAATCTACTTTTCTGGGAATTTACATCTATCCCTGAACTCACTGTACCCTGAAGTGAATTTGTACTGAGTGGAAGGAAAGAATTTTGACATGAACAGAATTTTGGAGTATACTGTGCGTAGTTGCAGGCTGCGTTGACACGGTCGGGCAGCAGCTCATCACAGGGCCCTGCCGCCTCTGCCCTGAGCTTTTAGCGGAGTGCTCGTCAGGCCCATGCCCTGCACCTGGCGAGGACACGGGATGCCCTCAACAAGACACCCTTGCAGGCCGATGTGGCAGCCCGTGTCTTCTGTCCCTCAGCGCAGTGACTGTGGGGTGTGCACAGGGACCCTGGGTCCAGCAGCGTCTGTCCCTCAGCGCAGTGACTGTGGGGTGTGCACAGGGACCCTGGGTCCAGCAGCGTCTGTCCCTCAGCGCAGTGACTGTGGGGTGTGCACAGGGACCCTGAGTCCAGCAGCGTCTGTCCCTCAGCGCAGTGACTGTGGGGTGTGCACAGGGACCCTGAGTCCAGCAGCGTCTGTCCCTCAGCGCAGTGACTGTGGGGTGTGCACAGGGACCCTGGGTCTAGCAGCGTCTGTCCCTCAGCACAGTGACTGTTGGGGATTGCACAAGGACCCTGGGTCCAGCAGCGTCTGTCCCTCAGCGCAGTGACTGTGGGGTGTGCACAGGGACCCTGGGTCCAGCAGCGTCTGGCTGTCCTGAGATGTTGCTGCCTGCCTTCTCCTTACTCCTCCGGTGCATGAGGAGATTCTTATGCCACATGGGTTCTGTCATTTTCACATCTGGTTGGGTGTGCCTTGTCTTTTCTGGAATTTTCTGAAGTAGATTTATGATATAAATACATGAAAATCTAGGGATTCGTGAGATCTTGGTATTGTTGTAAGCCCCAAAGTTCTCAGACCTGCTGTAGTTTCTGTGACTTTATATCATCTTGTCAGTCATTACCTTAAAATCCTGGGGTTTTCTCTGCAACAGGAAGCCAATACCCGCTGTAGGTTTACTTCACAGTCAGCTCTTAAACATTCTCAAAAACTGCTGTCTGGTGGGTCTTTTTTAAGATTTATTTATTTTTATTGCAAAGTCAGATATACAGAAAGGAGGAGAGACAGAGAGGAAGATCTTACAGAGTGCCGCTGATTCACTCTGTAAGTAGCTGCAATGACCAGAGCTGAGCCGATCTGAAACCAGGAACTTCCTCTGGATCTCCACCGCGGGTGCAGGGTCCCAAGGCTTTGGGCCGTCCTCGACTGCTTTCCCAGGACACAGGCAGGGAGGTGGAAGGAAAGCAGGGCCGCTGGGATGAGAACCAGAGCCTATATGGGATCCTGATGTGTGCAAGGTGAGGACTTTAGCCACTAGGCTATCATGCCAGGCCCAAGATTTATTTTTATTGAAAAGGCAGATCCACTCCCCAGGTAGGCATAGTGGCTAGAGCTGAGCCAATCAGAAGCCAGTAGCCAGGGACTTGTAGGTCTCTCATGTGGGAGCAGGTTCCCCAAGGTTTTTAGAGGATGGGCTTTCACACGCAGGCTACAAGCAGGGAACTGGATGGGAAGTGGAGCAGCTGGGACATGCCTGGTAGATGTTTCTCTCTGGAACCTCGTGTTTTCTTATAAGACTGTTATTTGTACTTAAAGTAATGGGTCTGAGTTTTTATCTCTCAGTTTTGTTTATTTGAAAGACAGGAACAGAAACAGAGCTCCGCAGGTTCACTGTCCACATGCCTGCCGACAGCCGAGGCTAGACCAGGCCAGAGCAGGAGCTGGAACCCAGTCCGAGTCTCTCACCTGGGTAGCCGGAAGCCCGAGGCCTGGAGGCGCCACTTGTTGCAGTGGAGCCGGGACTGAGATCCCTGCACTGCAGGCGTCGCACTCGCCCCAGGCAGTGTCTGAGCCGCTGTGCCAGATGCTGACCCCGCTGTTTCCTAAGGAATTCAGTACCGGGAACGGTCTTGGATGGCGCTTCCATGGAGTGTACATCAGTTGATGTGACAGAGAGGGAGGAAAGTGCTTTGGGCATTTCTATGAAGTCCTGCAGCTGGTGCTGCAGAATGGGCATTGGCCCGTGCCACCCAGGCTGGCAGCCCTGCTGCAGGTTCAAAAGCTGCAGGTGAATGTCACACTGCCCTCTGGTGGTTGGGACCTTCCCTGATGCAAGCTGTATCCTGCCCCTGGGTCATCGAGCTTTGCAAATGTCTTTTCTATCAGTGGAGTAAGATTCAGGAGGAAAGAACCATGGCATTGCAGGTAGGAAAAGGGAGTGTGCGTCATCATCCTTGGGGTGACTCACGGGCCCTTTGCCCAGCGTCCCTGTCTGCAGGGCATTGCTGCAGAGGTGCTGGGTTGGGCCAGGCACCGGGTAAGTCCTGTCCACGCCGGCACACGAGTTGGGTCTCTTGAGTCTTTTACTAAGCAGAAGTGGGGAGCCAAGCCAGAGTGGAACATTTTTTTTTAAGAGTGGAAATTGTTTGAACGTAAGTGTGTTAAGTAGGTAGCTGTTTCAGAGTTGATCAATAACCAGCAGTAAGCTGTAAGTGAATGGGTTAATTACCAAGCAAACGGCCCCAAATGACTGCAGTCCTGGAGCTTGGCGCCTCCTTGATCTCGGCCTCTCTGCTTCAGCCACTGGGGCACTGGCGAGCAGGACTGGGTGCTGTGAAGGTGCCGTTACCTGGCCTGGCTCCTTGGGGCAGATTGCCCAGTCACTGTGTTGGTCAGGCCTCCTCTCAACCCTGGGCCTGTTGGGAGCACTGCTGTGCAGCACTTAGCCCTTGGCTCGGCGGGCCCAGGGAGCTGTTGTCAGGAGCTGTTGCACTGAGCTTCCTTTGCGCCAGCCATTTCTTCTTTGGACCGTGTTTCTCTCAGTCTCCCTGAGCCTCAGCCTGTGTGGCCCTTGTCTGCGCTCTCTGCAGTCTAGGGCCGGCCCTTTGGCTGCTTTTTCCACAGGCTCTTCAGCCAGTGCTCTCGGTTGCGCTCTGAGTATCCCTCTGTTTAGAGCCTGTGCCCTTGTCCCAGAAGAACCTCCCTTGCAGATTGAGCAGTATTTCATTGGAGCTAATGTCTCAAACAGCGCAGGTAACAATACCAAGAAGCCTCCTCTCTGCTCTGCCTGGTGAACTTGCCTGGCTGAGCTGGCCTGTGCTCAGGGTGGCCCTTTGTCCCCTGTGTGGACAGCCGTCTGGACGAGGCCTTCCAAGTCTTCCCTCGGTTGGTTTGTATTTATTTACTTCCTTACTTGCCACTGGCTGTCTATGAGCCAAGAGCCACGATTAGACCGGGCTCCGGGGGTCGTACTCATGGGTCTATGTGCTTTGTGTGCTTTCCTTAAAAAAACTAAGTTCTTACAAACTCATTTATTTGAGAGCAGAGAGCATGCTGTTCTCGGCTGTTTTGCCCCCATACTTGCTCTTCCTCCAGATCACCCCTGAACGCCTGCAAGGGCCAGAAGGGTGAAAGCTGAGAGCTGGCTCTCCCTCATGGGTGTCAGGACCATCCTCTTGTGTTCTCAAGGCCAGGCCTGAGTGCACAGTGCAGACGCTGGGCTGCTGGGGTTGGGTTTGGCGCATGGACCTGGTTCTGCCAGCTGAGCCACTGCTGAGCTTGTGCCCAGCCCTCCCAGTCGGCAGTACCAGAGAGTGGGAGTCAGGTGCTAGAGCTGGGGGGTTGAACCCAGGTCCTCTGCTTGGGGAGGCCACATGTCCATCCTCATTTATATCTCCTTTAAAAATCTTGTGTTTCTCCTTGTTGAAAGTCACATGGGTGGTGAGTGCACATGTATGTGCAGTGCCCAGCAAGGGTGAATTGGATCACAGGGTTTCCCTTGTTCAGAATCTTGGCCCTGGGCGATGAAGCCTCGGGTGGCTGAGTTCAGAGGACAGCCAGGTTCCACCAGCAGGGCGGGTCCTTTGGTGAGGGCTGTGCCCAGGGACCTGCGGGAGCCACGTTGCCTCTCGAGCCTTCTCAGATGTCAGACACAGGTTTGGGAGTAGAAGCTCAGATCGGGAATTTCCAGTCTGGTGAGGTCATGAACTGGTAACAGAAGAGCTTGCAGAGCCTCTCAGGCTGAGGGTCAGTGTCAGGACTGTCTGCAGATCTGTGCTGGCAGCCTGCTCTTCCACATTCCTGCTGTGGGAGCCAGGCCAGCTCGGCTGTGGCAGGGAGTGTGGCTTCCAGCCGCCAGTGGGCCCTGGCTAGGGGGTGCATGCTGCCCGCTCCCTGCACCTCCCCTGCAGTGTGGATGAGAAGCTCTGCAGGAAGCGGGGTGCCCAGGCGAGCTGCGGGGCACTGGTGTCACTGACTCTTGCTTTCTTTTCCTAGGCACCAGTTTGTAGAAAATAATTTAATACTAAAAATGGGGCCAGTGGATAAGCGAAAGGTGAGTTGGATCCCTGCCCCTTCCCTGGCAGCGGGAGCTGTCATCCTGCACGTTGTGCCCACGCCCACACTGAGGCGGCACTTGCTGGACATGATGTCCTTGCTCTCCAGAGCCAGTAGCCAAAGAGGCCTAACCAGACACAGGGGTGTGCAGCCTCTTGGCTGAACCAGCAGTCTGGCCGATGGAGTCTGTGCGTGCAGCTGCTTAGACAGTTCCTGCCACTTTGTTACAGCAAGTGGTCTAAAATGTCATTACAAGTGCTTTAAAACACACACAGTTTGCTTTTGTGGGATACCTGTTAGAACATGTCAGCTAGCTGATATAGTTGCATCTAGACCTTGGCTTCTGGCCTGCTTGACCCTGTGCCTGGCCAGTGAGTCGGGGACAGACGCTGGCAGCCCCACTCTGCAGCCTTCTGAGCAGCATCTTTCCTTCATATCAGGGTTTATTTGCACGACGAAGACAGTTACTGCTCACAGAAGGGCCACATTTATATTACGTGGATCCCGTCAACAAAGTCCTGAAAGGTGAAATCCCATGGTCACAGGAACTCCGCCCGGAGGCCAAGAATTTCAAAACCTTCTTTGTGCACACAGTAAGTCGGCACCCAAGGATGCAGGTGAGGCAGGTGCCCCTGCTGTGTTTATCCCTGTGCTTGGGTAAGGGGCAGCTGGGCTCCAGCCGATGTCTGCCCTTTGCCACATCCCAGCAAACCTGGGGGGAGCTGGGAAACGCCTGAAGGTTGCAGTGACTGGCAGCAGGACTGGGCTTCCCATGGTGGCCAGGTGGGGACACACGGTGGGGGGAGGGGAGGGACTTGCTGAGGCCGCTGGCTCTCTCATTGCAGCCCAACAGGACGTACTACCTGATGGACCCGAGCGGTAACGCGCATAAGTGGTGCCGGAAGATCCAGGAGGTGTGGAGGCAGCGGTACCAGAGCCACCCTGATGCCGCCGTGCAGTGACAGCCCTGCGGCCGGGCTGCCCTTGGCTGCCAGGACACGTGCCCCAGCGCGGCTCGGCCGCCCCACAGGACGCTGTCAGACCACCTGCCAGCCATCTCAAGGGGAACACAGACGGCGCAAACCTTGCAGCTTTTTTATTTAAAAGAAAAGAAAAAAAAATACCCAACCACACAAAGAACAAAATCCATAACAAGAAGGAATTCAGGGTCGCTCTGCTTGCTCTGTGCGCCTGGAGGCTCCGCGTGCCAGATTAGTGAGCAGACCAGCATCTCCGGCTTCTCCTAGCGCAGTCAGAACACGCATCGCACCCCTCCCCGCGCCGACCCCAGGCTGTTCTGCTGGGGCTGAGGGCACAGATGTGTCCTTGGTTCTCTGAGCTGCACCCACCCCAGTCATCACGGAACCCCTCACCTGGGAGCAGCTGCGTGCCTCTGCTGGTTGGCTGGCAACCCTCCTTGGGCCACAGGGCTCTCTGCTTTTGTGCGTGTGCTGTTTCTTGGGTCCCTCGTGTTTGACCCTAGAGATGTTGCTGGGCCCCCATCCTGGCCCCGGCATAGTTCTGATGGCCCCTGCTGTCTGTCAGCAGGCAGGCTGCTACAGGGGGTGGTGGCCTGCAGTGCCCATGAGCCTCGAGCCTGCCTGGGAAGGGTACTGTCCCAGGCGGCCTGCTCATTGTCCAGCTGGGTCATTGCACAGGAGGTGTCATTCTTCCCCCAGCCTGGGTGAGACCAACAGGTGCTGCTGCACTGGGTTCAGTGAGAGGAAACGGCACAGTGTCCGTGTGCAGGGGTGAGGCTCTGGTCCTTCCTGGGATCTCTGGGAGGGTGCGGGCCTCCTGCACTGGATGTGGGGGGCTGAGAGAGGGTCCTGCCTTGGCCCAGGTTGCTTCTGTCTTCTGCAGACGGCTCCTGGGGGTACAGGCACACAGCAGCCTGCGCATCCTGTTCTCATTGTGGTTAAACATTTCTCAGAACTAACGCCGTGGTTACGTCTCCACTTGGAAAATGTGGAAGCCTGCTTGTGTTGCCAGGCCGTCTGGCCCCATAAGAATGAAGTGTTTGCACAGGAGGCAGCAGCAGCGCCCTGCACCAGGGTTCGCCCAGCCTGGCATCCCCTGCCAGCTTCAGGGCCATCCCCGTGGGGGCTTTGGTGCTGGGACAGCTTGGGATGGGCTGCACACGCCTCAGTCCTGGAGGTCTGTCCAGGTGCCTGGAGGGCAGCATTGGTTTGCTGGGAGAGAGAAGGTACCCAGCCCTCCCAGGCAGCAGCTCCCAGAAGTGCGGGCCCCTGGGGCCCCCGGGAATGAGACTTCCACAGTGGCATCCGCAGGGTCCCCCTGTCTCCCACCTCCTGTCTGTTGGGCCCAAATTGAGAGGAAAGATTTTTTTTTTTCTCAAGCTGTTTGACCAAGGGTAGCTTTATACAAATTGGGGGTGAGTGCCATGGAGGGGTGTGGTGGGAGCAGAGGTATCCCCAGATTGTTCCAGTAGTTTCTGCCTGGGCCTTATGCACTCTGTGGGAGCTGTGTGTCCCCAGGCCCAGGGCTCAGTACAGGCCCTGGTCTGCGGCTTGGAAGCCACCCCACTCCCCCAGCTTTTGGGAAGGCTCTCCTGTGTCAGGTGAGCCTCACATGGCCGTTTCAGGAATTTCCGTTCAGGCTCATGTCCCTGTTGTGGTTTTTCCTTCTCAGAATGCCCTGTGTCTGTGTGCAAGTGACACCCACAGGTACAGGAAGTCACCTCCCCCTGGTGCAAATGGGCTCCTGGTTCCAAGGAAGTGGGCAGTGCCTCCATGGCCGGTGCACTCACAGGCACGCCCGGCAGGCTCCTGGGGAGATCTGGCAGCACTCTGCCCCCTGGCGGCCCCACTACCTCCTGAGCTTCGCCTCGGAAACCACAGTGTCGGCATTCAGGGCCGAGCGCCGGCTGACCTCGGGGTCACCTTTTCCTCAGAACCTCCCTGGTCCAGATCCATATATGTTTTCTTTCCCACCGTTACTCACATCCACTTTGGTTTTCTTCAGCCATCCTCTGGACCTTTGCTGGCATGCAGGTGCCTGACACCGAGTGTGCAGGCACAGCTAGGTGGAAGTGCAGTCGTGGGTCAGTCCAAGTGGGGAGAGCAGGGCGCTGTACTCTGATAGTTCCTGGAGCCCGGGCTTGCCGAGAGCTGGCAAGGACACACTCTCCTGGCCTCTCAGCGCAGACCATGCGGTAGGGGCTCTCAGAGCCCACTGTGCCCTGCCCTCCTTGGGGGACACGGAAGCCACGTTTGAGAGCTGTTTCCTTGCTGTGGAGCACTGAGCCACTCCGCCTGCAAGAGGGCCCTGTGTGTGACCAGTGTGCTGGAGGCCTGTTAGGAGAGACACTGTGGCTGAGGGTGACCCCTGCTTGTCCCCCTCCGTGCTCTGTGGTATTTGTGGAAACGGTGCCCATCAGTACACAGGCTGCCCTGTACCTCCTTAAAAGTAACATGTCATTATTTAAATCCACTGTAGGCTGCCCACCCAGGGGAGACTCGTGTGAACACTGGGTCTGCAGCCTGCCCCTCCCCACCTCCATACACAGTTGTGAGCGCGCACGTGTGCCCTTTGCGTCCACCTTTTCTCACTGGTGTTTTATCTTCCCATGCCGTGAACCGTTCTCCAAACACACTCTTAGTGTGGTGCCTGATGGTCATCGGTGTCACCCTGACCACTGACCGTTTCCCTCTGTGAAGCTCTGAGTTTCTCGCTGTTGAAATAATGCTGTGACGAGTGTCCTTATAAATCCTTGATTTGTAACTCTGGTTTTCTCCCCCGTAGGTGCCTAGAAGTGGTAGATTTGGGTCAAAGAGTTTGTTCATTTCCAAGATGCTGCTCTCTCCTCGGACGCTTAGACGCCCAGAGTTCAGGAACAGAACCCCTTAGTTGTGTACTGCAGGTTCCCACCGCATTGTGTTCCAAAGAATGTCTCGATACAACCGCTCTTTTTCCTAACGCTAAGGTGACATCGTCGCGGTGGATGCACTGCAGCGTTTTCCTGTTTGCAGTGTGAGGATCTGGCTGTGCTTGCGTGCTGTTCTCCCATCTGCTGCTAGGCTTCCCGTGCTTGGTGGGGTCTCAGACCCTGTCCTTGTGTCTACAACGGTACTGCGTTTGCATCCGCACAGTCCGCAGAGAGAGCAGGCGTTGAACTGACCTGGCCATTGCTTAACGGTCGGAAAATGCATGGGGCCGTTCAGAACCGTCAGCAGGGCAAAGGCCCCGCCGGAAACCCTGCCAAGGGCAGATCCCAGGATTGCACGGTGGTATGGCTCCGGGCTGGTGTGGAGAGAGGGCCTTCTCATGCTGCCTCGTCACTTCAAGTCCAGCCACCTCAGTTTGGCTGTGGTCTCTGCGCTGGGTGAGGCGCTGGATTCGGAGGGCAAGCGTTGCCAGGAGATGCTGTGAGGGCACCAGTCTCAATGCTGTCTGATTTTGCAGCATTGGGTCTGCCCCTGTTCACACTGGTCCACAGAGCCCAAGTGCTTGCTCGCCGTCAAGTGGGTGGCAGCTGTGAGAGTGGGATGGAGAAGGTGCCACATGAACTGATTGACTAAAAGTGTCTGTTTCTGAGGGAGCATCCAGGTGCCATGCTCATACCCTCGCCCACCTCCTAGGTGACACGGCCCGGGCGTACATGTGCTGGTCTGGAGGAGGCAGTGCCAGCAGGTTGCATGGCATGGAGCAGAATGGGCCTCCCTAGATGCTGAGTTTTCCCCCTGACTTTCCTTCAAAGTGAAGAAACCCAAACGCATACAGACACCTTTGTTGCAAGAGGCGAACCATTTTTAGTCATTTAACTCCACACTGTTGTAACCTGTGGCCCAGTGGACGTGAAATAGGTCATCCTGCTGGTGAGCAGCTTCTCCTGGGACCGTACCTCGATGGGACGTTGGCTGAATCGAATCGTGACTTCTTGGAGCGGCTGTGGCGGCTCTCCAACAACAGCCGCCAGGGTGGATCCTGGGCACAGTCTGGTCAGTGGCAGCGAGACGCCTAACTCTTCCCGATCTGTAGCCGTAACTGTGATGTACAGGCAAAGCAGAAGTTTTTAAAAAGTATGGAAACAAATAATGCAATGATATTAGGATTTACACTTTTGTATTTTTATTCTTATATAAGGTTATTTGCTGGCCCCTGGCCTCTAGTTCACCCTGTGTTATTTAAATTCTAATATATGAATTATTTGGATTGAATTCATGTTCGGGGCCACGTTGTTGTATGTATTGATGTACAGCCTTGAATGTGAATAATTATTGTAAACTATATTTTACAACTTTTGTTTCTCGCTTTATTATATAACTTTTCTATTTGGTCGATGATTTAATCATAATTTAATGAATCTGTGTATCCTCTTTCAGATATTTGTGCTGTAGATGTAGTTACTGGATGATGAATTTTCGTCTATGCTCAGTAGTCTTGTAATAAAAGCATGTAGCGTGGAGACTGGCTGGCCTGGCTCTTCTGGCGGGAGGAGGGGGGCGGACCGCTTCTCCGGCCCGGAACTTCCGCCTCCCGCGTGACGCTGAGGCGAGCGCTTTAGGAAGGTGGACCGGTAGGCGGGGCGGAGCGCGGAGGACGGTATTAAAGAGGGTACGCTTCCGGCGCCGTGCGCTGCGGCGGGGCTTGCTGGGATCATGGCGGAGAACCACTGTGAGCTGCTGCCGCCGGCCCCGGGCGGCCTCGGGGCGGGGCTGGGGGGCGGCCTGTGCCGCCGCTGCAGCGCGGGGCTCGGCGCCCTGGCCCAGCGCCCCAGCTGTGTGTCCAAGTGGGTCCGGCTCAACGTGGGCGGCACCTATTTCCTCACCACTCGACAGACGCTGTGCCGGGACCCCAAGTCCTTCCTGTACCGCCTGTGCCAGGCCGACCCGGACCTGGACTCGGACAAGGTGAGGCCCGGGCGGGAGCGTCGTGCGGGGCTGGGCCGGAGGCGCTGCGCGGCGGGGCTCCCCTCGTCCCGCCCGCGGTCTTGGGGGCGAGCCCCCAGCCCGGAGCCCTCGGGCTGCCCGGGAGGCCCCCGCCGGCCCCCGTGACTTGCATTTAGCGAGGTGACGGCGGCGTGAGGCGGACTCTCCACCCGGAACCCCGCTCCGGGTCAGGGCTGGGGCCGCAGAGAGGGCCGGGAAGGGGTTGCTGTGCGTGTGTCCCCGAGCTGCGCTTCTCCTGGTCAGTGCCCCCGTTTCTGGGATTGGTGCGGGGTCTCGCCGGGAGGGGCCGCGTCTGCTGCTAGCCTGGCGGGGTGGTCTCGGTGCCTGAGCCCGACGCCGTGTGGTCAGGAGCCCAGCGCGGCCCCCGCCCTCGTCCTCAGTGGAGTGACCTCCCAGAAAATGATAGCCTGCTGCGGGACAGAAATAAACTTTTGTTAGCTGTGATTTTCCTGTGAGAGCGTGGGGTGTGTTTTGCTGTGGGTTTAAACAGTAGCCTTTCATTGGCACTCGCTGGCCTTTCTGCTCCAGCGTCCCTGTTGTGCAAGTTCAGTCGGATTTTACAGTATTGCACACTTGAACAGTGTCAGCTCCGTCCATTTTACTGTCTCAAACCTGCCTTAAAAAGCGGGCTTCACAGGAATAGGACTCCTTGGGGGAGGGTGCACAGCTAGTCCGCCTGGCTGTGTCTGTTGGTGACCGCTGTCCACTGCACCAGCTCTGGTCTCCGAGCTGTGGTCTCTGTCAGTAGGACACGGGGTTGGTTTTCCACCCGGGGAAGTTGCCAGAAAGCAGAGCTGATCGCTGGGTGTGTGCCTAGCGCATCTTCAGGGAGGGGATGGGTGAGCTGCCTCGCCCTGAATGTGTCTCCCAGGAGACTGTCCAGGTAATTAACTCCTGAGTGAGCACTGCTGAGGAGGGCAAGTGTCAGCAGTAGGAGGCCATTAGCAGCTGATGGGGACACAAACAGGATGTTGTTGATTCAAGTAGCAAGCTCTCCAAGCATTGGGCTCGTGAACACTCATACCTCCTGGAGCTTCCCTGATGCCATCATGGGCCGTAAGAGGGCTGAGCCACACGGCCTGGGCCTACCCCCGGCTTCAGACCAGCTTGGGACCTGCCAGCAGCCCTCGCCCTGCTGCTTTTGTCTGCAGGGCAGCTCCGGGCCTGTGCTGCCTAGGGTGGCCTTCCCAAGGCAAGACCGTGCGCTGTGCATCCTGGCATTGTCGGTGGGCATCCAGGGAGCTGAGCAGCTTGTACCTGCGTCACTGTCCTTGCTATGGTGGGGCACTGGTGGCAGATGCCGCTGCTTGCCTGGCAAGGGTTCGTCTGTGCCTGAGCCAGGTCTCGGAAAGCTGGGGAAGGGGGGCTCTGGGCCTACACCCATGGAGCAGGGCTGTCCCCGCCCGGGCCCCTGCAGATTTTGAGTGGGATTTTATAGGCGACCTGGCTGGGGGAGGTGGCTCCTGAGCTGGGAAGGGCAGTTCACACTCTGTGTCTGCAGTGCCGGGATGGTGGCTCTTAGTGGTGCCTTAGCCCTGGTTGGCTGTGGCACCAGTTCTCGGGGAGCCCATGGTCATCTTGAAGACCTTGAGACCTGGGCCAGGTTTACTTTGTGATAAAGTGGGCGCTTCTGGGAGGAAGTCAGACACAGGACCTTGGACAGGTGCCGGCCCGAGGGGACAGGTCTGTCCGCCCCGGAACACCAGGCCGGTCTTCCTGGGCCTGCACTGGCCGAGGGCTTGTGGGCATGGCTGCCTTTGTTCTGCACGAGGGTCCCCCAGAACATTTTTGGGAAAATGAGTCGCAGAGGACTTGAGACATTCCATTCTGGGTTCCCAGAGCAGATTAGACTTGGGGCTGCAACCTGTCCCTCTGCTGCTGTGTGACCCGGGGTGAGTGTCTGGACCTCCCTGGGCTTTTGCTGCTAAAGTGAAGACAGTGCCCCAGTGCAGTGGTTGTGACAGGTAAGAAAAAGGGTGAGTGCCCTCTGGCCCCGTGGTCCTGTGGCAGGGAGTGTCCAGGCCTTCTCCTCCTGGGCTGTGCTATGTGTGGCTGGTGACACATTATCTCACAGAGCTCTGGCACCTGGGCCCTTGGCCCGACGGTATCGGGTGTGGCACAATAGGTGCCCCGACATTACAGTGGTTGTCCCTTCACACTCTCCCCAGTTCCCAGGCCTTGACTGCCTCTGCTTCCCCTTCCTTCAAGGGGCTGCCAGCATGTTCAGGAAGGGCGAGTTGACTGGGTTTCTGTGCCTCTGGTGTCCCCAGGGAGGAAGTTACCTGAGAAGTGCAGCAGACTGATGCCCCCTGCCATGCAGCTGCAGCCTGCACAGGTGGCCGGAGCCCGCTGCCCTGCCGCGGAAGGCTCCCCAGTAGGTGGCCTGGCGGAGGCCTCACTGTGACGTGTGACACACCTCTGCTGCAGCAGCAGCCTCGGGGTTGGCGTGGAGTGCTTAGAGCATCTACTCAGCAGGCATCCTGGGCCCAGGGAGCCCCTGCCTGCTGTGTCTGGCCGAGCTTGACCTTGAGCCTGGAGGAAAGCTGAACCCACTGAGGAGCCGTGGACAGGTGCCCACGAAGCCTGTGGCCTGGCAGCGTCCATCTGCCCGAGTGCCTGGTTGTGCCATGGGGTCTGGCCCTGGGTGATGGGCAGCCCCACAGCTGTGGGGCGAGCTGCACGTGTGGCCAAGCTCCCACCTCTCCGAGCACTGCTGTGAACTCGTGGGGAGAGGGCACATGGCCGTGCCATGCTGCCCTGGGAGGCTCGTGTGGCTGACACACTCAAGAGCGAGCTCAGGGAATCCCTTTCTTGTGCCTTTGAGGAGAGGTTTTGTTTTGTTTTTTAAGATTTGTTATTTATTGGAAAGGCAGATGTATAGAGAGGAGGAGAGACAGAGAAGGAGTCTTCGTTCCAGGATTCACTTCCCAAATGGCCGCAACAGCCTGAGCTGAGCTGATCCGAATCCAGGAGCCCCTTCCGGGTCTCCCACGTGGGTGCAGGGTCCCAAGGCTCTGGGCCGTCCTCGACTGCTTTCCAGGGCACCGGCAGGGATCTGGATGGATAGTGAGGCTGCCAAGGTTAGAACTGGTGCCTAGTGTGTGCAAGGCAAGGTCTTTAGCCACTAGGCTACTGCGCTGGGCCTGAAAAGGGTGTTTTCCAAGTCAGCAGCACCACAAGTAGGTCAGATGGCAGCGCGAGGAGCGGGGAAGGCAGGCCAGGAGAGAGCAGGTGGCTCCCACACGGTCCAGTCTGCAGATACAGCACGTGCTTGTTACGTCACTCACTGGAGGGACAGTGGAGAGGAGGAGGCCCCCGCGGGGCCGCCTGCCAGGTATGGACCGTGCCATTGTCCTGCGTGGCCCGGGTCCTAGAGCAAGTGCCACTAGTGGCAGTGTGCTCAGCAGCCCAGGAGACTCCTCTGGCAGCTTTCCTGTTGGCGTGAGACCCCTGGAGTGTCAAGGCCCCGCTGCTGTGTCGGTCACCGTCTGCAGGTGGGTGCCTGCCCAGGGGTGCGGGGCCACACAGCACTGAAGGCGCGAGACGTGGTCAGGAGTGTGCAGCATCCTGGGGACCCCAGCACGTCCTGCGCAAGACCTCCAGGCTGCTGCTCTGCCCTGAAAACAAGCATGCGTTTTTGTAAATTTACATTTATTTTCATTTTATTTGGAAGGCAGAGAGAGGGAGAGAAATCTCCCCATACTGGTCACTTAAGCAGTGCCCTCCACGTCCCAGACAGAGGCCTGGAGCTACACTCAGGTCTTCCACTACCCACGCCTATTTGGCTTTTTTTTTTTTTAATCTCATTTTTTTGAAAACATTATTGATTTGAAAGGCAAGTGACAGAGACATCATCCATCTGTTGGTTGTCTGTGTACACGGCTGCAGCAGCCACATCGAGTTCCGGGTACAGCAGTGAATTCCATCCCGACTTCCCACTTGAGTGCCCAAGGACTCAGGCCCTTGGCAGGGAGCTGGACTGGAAGCAGGGCAGCCAGGACTCCAACCAGCATCCATTGTAAGTGGCAGCTTTGCTTGCTATGCCACTTTGCCACTGCCTAGATTGTCCAGTTTAAGAGGCAGCAAGACTGAGTGAGCCCCTGTGGACCGACTGCTGGGGCATGGCAGAGGTCGTTCTAAGTCCCCCGCCCTGATCGCAGGCCCCCACTGCCTGCCCAGGCACACGGTAGGAGGAAGCTGCAGTGAGGACCCCGGGCTGCCCGTGGAGGACCCCGCGCAGCCTGGTTTTGTCATGAAGCCCATCTGATGGAGTAGACCTCGCAGAGGGAACATCGGGTGAGGTGTGTCCTGCTCTGTGTCCTCATCTACCGGTCATTGGCTCAGGAGCTGTCAGCGTGACGTGGCCCGCCCCACTCGGGCCTCTGAAGGCGTGTACTGGGCAGCTCCCTGGGAGAGAGGCCTACAGACTCGAGAGAGAGCCAGGAACTGTGGGAGGCCGTCCAAGGAGAGCTGAGAGCCTGGTCCAGCTGGGATGCTGCCCGACCCCCTGCTGGTT